AATAAAAATGTTAAAAAATTTAAAAAACATGGTTTAGTTAAATTATTTTAGGAGTTAAATTTATCATTTCTCTTTAATCTTCAAGATTATAGTATAACTGACTATACCAAGGCAGGGACAATCTAAAATATTTTAAAAACTGAGCAATTCAAACAGATTGAAAGTTTCACTGCTGATGTTGATCTTTTATTAGATATAAAAATCATTTCTACAGCAATCCCAATTAGGATGAAAAATAAATTATTTAAGGAAGACTTGTAAATTATGTGACTTAAATGCATCTATATTATAAGAGGCCAGGTTTTAAATAGTTAAAAGTATCATTTTTGAATGCTGCTAATGTGGTAAAAGTAACAACAGTAGTTTAGAAAAAGTGCTTCACCAGGAATAAGTAGATCCTAATTTTAGTACCTACTAGTACTATTCTAATTTGTTGTGTGATCTTCAATATATTTCATAACTTTCTTGGTCTTCACTTGAGTTGCTCTTCTGTAGGGAGTGAATTCTATTTGTTATAGTATCTAGGACCTAGAATAATGTCTGGCAAAGTAGATATTTGTTGAAACAATGTTATAGAACAATTCCTAAAATACGATAGAGAAACAGTAGCTTTATTTATCTCTTGGGTTAGTTCTAGATAAAAATGTCAAGAAACTTACCCATTCTTTGCCTCCCAATCACCTGTCTATCTGCAGTGCTAATGATCCTACTTCTTTATTTCCTTCTCTTCCTCAAAAGCACACTGTGTCTGCTCTGCCACTGTGCCTTTGTAAAATATTTTCACAGGACAATAGTTTTTCCCAGCATTTTTCAAAAACTATCATGATTCAATTAAGTCGGACCTAGAAGTCATCCCATTTCTAGACTTTAATCTTCACTTGGCAGTAAAGCTGAGGACATTTTTGAAAACTCCAGTTGTCGAATTTCAGTCACCCTCAAATGTTGGTGTCAGCATTTTAAGGACAGGGCATGATGACTACTTGGCAGCCCACCAATTGTATTATATAAACAGAAGCCTGCTTCAGGGATAATCCTTTTTGACTTCATAGACTTGACATGACAGTAAGAATGGAATTCAGTGAATTTGAAAGTGCTGTGAGGAGATATTGGCCAAGATGGTGGAGTGGAAAAACCCTGAGCTCACCTCCTGAGCTCACATGATGATTCAAAACCTATGGGATGCAGCAAAAGCAGTTCCAAGAGGGAATTTTATAGTCATACAAGCTTACCTCAGGAAACAAGAAAAATCTCAAATAAACAACCCAACCTTACACCTAAAGCACCTAGACAAAGAGGAACAAACAAAACACAAAGCTAGTAGGAGGAAAGAAATCATAAAGACCAGAGCAAAAGTAAATAAAATAAAGACTAAAAATAGAAAAGGTCAATGAAACTAAGATCTTGTTCTTTGAAACAAACAAACAAAATTGATAAACCTTTAGCCAATTCAAGAAAAAAAGAGAGAGACCCCAAATTAATAAAATCAGAAATGAAAAAGGAGAAGTTACAACTGGTACCACAGAAATACAAAGAATCATAAGAGATTACCATGAACAACTGTATGCCAATCAAATGGACAATCTAGAAGAAATTGATTCATTCCTTGAAACATGTAATCTCCAAGGACTGAATGAGGAAGAAACAGAAAATATGAACAGACCAATTAACAGTAATGAGACTGAATCAGAAATAATGAAAAAAAAAATCTCTCAACAACCAAATTCCAGGACCAGATGGCTTCACAGATGAATTCTTCCAAATATTTAGAGAAGAGTTAACACCTGTCCTTCTTAAACTATTCCATAAAATTTCAGCAGAAAGGACATTCCCAAACTCATTCTTTCAGGCCAACATACCTCTGATACCAAAACCCAGACAAAGATACACAATAATAGAAAATTATTGGCCAATTTTGCTAATAAATACAGATGCAAAATTTTTCAACAGAATATTAGCAAACCAAGTCCAACAATACATCAAAATGATCATACACCATGATCAAGGGATTTATCCCAGGGTGCAGTGATTTTTCAGTATCTTCAAATCAATGAATGTGATGCATCACATTAACAAATTTTAGGATAAAAACTGTATGATCATCTCAATTGATGCAGAAATTTCTTTTGACAAAACTCAACATCAATTTATGTTAAACACTCTCCAGAAAGTTGGCATAGAGAGAACATACCTCAACATAATAAAGCTCATATACAATTAGTCCAAGGCTGGCATCATACTCAATGGTGAAAAGTTAAAAGCATTTCCTCTAAGATCAGAAATAAGGCAAGGATAGCCACTCTCACCACTTTTACTTAACATCGTATTGGTGTTCTAGCACAGCAATCAGATAAGAAAAAATAATAAAAGAAATCCAAATTGGAAAGGAAGAAATAAAACTGTCACTGTTTGCAGATGACATGAAGCTATACACAGAAAATCCTAAAGATGTCATCAAAAAACTGCTAGAGCTTATCAAGGAATTTAGTAAAGTTGCAGGGCACAAAATTAATATACATAAATCTATTGCATTTCTATACACTAACAATGAGCTATCAGAAAAGAAATTAAGAATACAATCCCATTAACCACCACATCAAAAAGAATTAAATATCCAAGAATAAACCTACCAGAGGAGGTAAAAGACCTGTATTCAGAAAATTATAAGACACTGAGAACAGAAATTGAAGATGGCACAAACAGATGGAAAGACACATCATGTTCTTGGATTGGAAGAATTAGTATTTTTAAAATGACCATACTACCCAAGGCAAACTACAGATTCAGTACAATCCCTATTAAAATACCAATGGCATTTTCACAGAACTAGAACAAGTAATTAAAAATTTGGATGGAAACACAAAACCTTGAATAGCCAAAACTATCTTGAGAAAGAAGAACAGACCTGTAGGGATCATGATCCCTCACTTTAGACTATACTGCTACATGATATACTGCGAAGCTACAGTAATCAAAACATTATAGCTGTGACACAAAAACAGACACATAGATCAATGGAACAGAATAGACAGCCCAGAAATAAACTCATGTACTTATGGTCAATCAACCTATGATTCAGGAGGCAAGAATATACAATGGAGAAAAGACAGTCTCTTCAATAAGTTGTGTTGGGAAAACTGAACAGCTATATGTGAAAGAATTAAATTAGAACATTCTCTAACATAATATACAAAAATAAAGTCAAAATGGATTAAAGACTACATGAAAGGTCGGATACTATAAAACTCCTAGAGGAAAACATAGAACACTCTTTGACATAAATCACAGCAATATTTTTTTAGATCCATCTCCTAATGCAACAGAATTAAAAGCAAAAATAAACAAATGGGACCTAATTAAACTTAAAAGCTTTTGCACAGCAAAGGAAATCATCGACAAAAAAATAAAAAACAAACAAGCAAACAACCCCCTGAATGGGAGAAAATATTTAAAAATGATATGACCAATGAGGGATTAATATCCAAAATATATAAACATCTCATACAACTGAACACACAAAAAAAACTAACCCGCTTATGAAATGGGCAAAAGAACAACATAGACATTTTTCAAAAGAAGAAATGCAGATGGTCAACAGGCACATGAAAATATACTAAACATCACTAATCATTAGGGAAATGCAAATTAAAACCACAATGAGATATCACCTCACACTTGTCAGTATTTCTGTCATCAAAAACTACAAGTAACAAATGTCAAGGATATGGAGAAAAGGGAACCCTTGTATACTGTTGACAGGAACATAAATTGGTGCAGCCACTGTGGAAAACAGTATGGAGGTTTCTCAAAAAACTAGAAATATAACTATCGTATGACCCAGCAATTCCACTCCTGGGTATATATTTTAAAAAAATGAAAATACTAGTTTGAAAAGATCCATGCACCCCAATGTTCATGGCACTATTATGTACAATTGCCAAGATATGGAAGCAACCTAAGTGTTTATTAATAGATTAATGGATGAAAAAGTTGTGGTATATACATATAATGGAATACTATTCAGTCACAAAAAATTAAATTTTGCCGTTTGCAACGAGATGGATAGATTTGTAGGGTATTATGCTAAGTGCAATAAGTCAGACAGAAAGACAAATACTATATGGTACCACTTATATGTGGAATCTAAAAAATAAAACAAAACTACTGAGTATAATGAAAAAGAAAGAGACACAGATATAGAGAACAAACTAGTAGTCACTTGTGGAGAGGTAAGCAGGGGAGGGCAAGATAGGAGTAGAGTATTAAGAGTTACAAACTACTATATATAAAACAAATAAGCTACAAGTATCTATTATACAATATAGGGAATATAACCAATATTTTATAATAAGCATAAATAGAACATAACCTCAAAAATTGTGAATCACTATGTTGTACAACAAAAACTTATATAATATTTTACATTAACTATATCTTAATTAAAAAAAGAGAGAACTGGAGCTATAGTTGACTTAATTAATTGATTCAACAAATAGTTTTCAATGTCTAAATGTTCCAGACACTGTTCTAGGTGCTGGAGACATAGTGGCAAATAAGTCAAAACACTTGTTCTCATATCTTTGAGTTTACATTTTAATTGAGGAAAAGAGACAATAAACAAATCAATAACTATATAACATGATTTCAGATATATCTAAGTTCTGCTTTTTCTATCTGGTGCGCTCCTTCCTAAGTGAGACACTCTGGTGCCAATAGTCTCCTCCACCTCATTCATAACCAATCTTCTAAATGCTGCTGCATAAGAAGTATCATGTGTAGGCAGTGCCCCAAATTCAGCTCTCAAAATTCCCCACTAAAGTATATTCAACTAATTCATATCTGTTGATGGCAGGTAATTGATGTGCATGTTCCTCCTTCCAGCATTTAGTTTATGTATCTAATGTCTTTTTATTTTATTTTTAATTAATTTTTTATTGAAGTATAGTTAGTTTACAATGTGTCGAGTTCTGGTGTCTTTTTAAATTGAAGTATAGTTGATTTACAATGTTATGTTAGTTCCAGGTATTCAGCACGGTGATTCAGTATTTTTGCAGATGTATCTAATATCTTAATCCCAAATGAATAAAGATTTTCTGTGCTTTCTCTTCTCTTCCCCCCAATACCTCTCTGTCTGTCTTTCTTCTCATTTTCTGCTTTGTACCTTAAAAATCATTTGTTCAAGGCCTATTTATTAGGATGAAGGATGGACACCTAACTGACTTGCTATTTCTGGCTACTATTCTTCCTATTTATTTAAAATAATTCCTTAGTTCTCATTAAACGAGTTCTATAGTCTCTGATCCAGAAAAATCTGTCAGTCTCTTAAGCAAATATACTCTGGAGAAATAGTCTACATAAATGCCCATCATTTGTCAATATTTTCTTGTTGCCTAATAATGGTTTAGTTCTCTAGGTACCATGGTGATATCTAGTATAAGAAGAAACAAATATTTCCTGACTCACAATAGTGTCTTGGTGTACTTTATTTTTGTTGCATTAGGGAACTAGAAATTCCATTTGGTTTCAAGAAAAATTAAAAGACAGACCATTTACTTTAGTTATAATAAGGCTAATTTTTATGGAGACATCAGTAAGATTTCTATGCATTTGACTAGAAAATAGCAAGCGGAGACATCAGTAAGATTTCTATGCATTTGACTAGAAAATAGCAAGCATTTGTATTTTTCAGTTTATGATTCCTTTGCTGACTTTTGAAATGCTGTCTCTAAGTCCTGACCAAATTCATTCTTCCCTAGACTTTTTGGCCTAAGTTTCCAGGACTCTTAACTGTAGAGATATAAATGTGAATAGGTTAACATTAAAAAATGGTTTATAGATGGCCAAAGACATCCCAAAAATTGACTTGAAAGTGACTATATTTACTTTATTGCTGTGCTATTTGTATTTTAAAAGTGGATTACGTGAAGATTTCTTTTATCCTAAATTCATTGGGTTGAGCATTTTTCTTTCATATTAAGTGAATCCAAAGAACATTAATTATTTATGAAAAATTTTTTCCTGAATGAGGTTAGAATAGATGCAGAATTTCAGCCATCTGTTGAATAATAGTTGAAGAATTGGTGAAAGAATGTTACAATGAGAAATCATCAATCAAAGTAAAAATGAAAGCTTTATTAATAAATGTTAAAAATTAATTTTTTCTTCTTATAGCGATCCTTTCACAGTGAAATTGGAAGTTTGTGAGGGTACATTTAGGATTTAAGCATGGATCATCTTTCTCCTTGGTAAATTATCATCTTTAAACTCCTTTCATGTATTCTTAGAGTACTTACAATACAGTGTAATTCTGTTAAAATTTGATCTCTGTGAAGGATCTGATAGGGTCATCAAACATAAGTGTAACTGACAGTAGTTTAAATATTATATTTAGTGGGTACATTTGCATTTTCTTGAAAGATGGAATCTCAAACCAAAGAATGAAGTTTGAATTGAAAATGAGAAGTTTGGTATTAAAAAAACAATAGGGAAATTATTGGTGGGGGGCACTATATAAAGCCAGTCGTCTTTAGTTTGGGATCTGTAGACACGGACAAAATTAATGGGCAACCGCAAGGTATCTGCTGTCACAGTTCAGATAGTCAAACTATAACCTCTGAAGCGTTTGGCCCAGAATGGTCAGGACTTGGTCAATACCGGTCAGCTTCCCTAACTTTTGCCCCTGCTTCCCACTCAATACCAACCAGAGAAAGCCAAGTACGCTCCTCAAACCAATCACATGGAATGTCTCACTTTTAGCTAGCCTGTCTCCAGCTTCCCCATGCCCACAACCTACAAGTAGGGTATACATGAAGCCTTTCCTTTGTTTCACTATAAAACTTTCTCTCTCCTGCCTGCCTTTGATTCTCTGGCAAATACAAGTGATGGTGTCGACTCCCTTGTTATTGCAAGCTTAGAATAAACAGCCTTCACTTGTCATTTGGGTGATCTTTTTCTTTTTCTTTTTCTATAATCCTATTATCTAGATATTTTAGAGCCAGAAATTTTAACTTATTATGTACATGATAATCAACTAAGAAGTTTAAAAAAGTGTAAATAGTCAAGCACCACTCAACTCCAACTGAATTAGCATTTAAATGGGAAAGCCTGGCAACAAGTATTTTTAGCAAGCATCCTAGGTGATTCTTATGCACACTACAGTTTGAAAACAGTTGTTATATGGAAATATTGTTTAATTTTGATGCAAAAAAGAAAAAGAATATGCCTATATTAGTTTGAATATCTTTTAACTCCAATCTCTTCATTAGAAAACATTAGAACAGTTTGAAACTTGTTTAACAAGATAAAATCAAATACTCCTAATTTGTTTTAATATTTTCAATATTCCCTGAAACCGGTCCCCTCTAACATTGTTCATAAACTCTTAGCTGAAATCAGTAATTATAGGAGAGCAAAAGTGTTATTATAGTGCACATCACAGAATCATTTCACAAGATGAATTATTCTTCCCATGTAGTTTCTTTTGTGCTTGCAGTTGAAATGTACATGATTTCTCCAATTTTTTCTTTTTTACTTTCTGAGGAACAAACTAATCAAAAACTTTCATCTCTTGAAAAATACAAGAGTAAGAATAACAATCACATACCAAAATTCAAATGATCATTGGTTAATGAGGTTCCTCATAATCTTGAAAACAAATGGGTAGAATATTCTTTGTGAATGTATCCTGATTACTAATTTAGTACACTATATGGGGACAGGTGGAGATAACAAATAAACCGCAGCATATTCTAGACATGTACAGAGAATCTATGGGAGGTTTCATGCCTTGCTCTGAGTACCTTTGACTTTGAAAACATAAGCTCCCTTTCTCTCATACCCAGTATTATCAACACTTATGTGTCTATTTTAAAACATAATAATAAAATTCACTCAACATTCTTCAGCTTGTATTCAGCTTATAGACTGAAAACTGATTTTAAAGGGACTGGACAATGGTATTGCATATTAGAGCAATTTGGCAAAATGTTGATTTCATTTTTAATACTTTGATACTTATATATATGGCCCAGACTTGGACACCAAGATTCCTAGTGTTAAAAATTACCTATGTCTTTTAGTGTTCCAGTTATTGAACTATCTTCCTATTTCTGTTGCTTTATATTCAACATGTCCGAATTTACATCATTTTATTCTCATTAGAATCAGGAATAAGCTTTGAAGTAGAATCCATTAGGATTGCATATTACAAACCAATAGCCACCAAAGGTAAAATACTCGAAATATCTTGTCAAATAAGTGATCTTTATTGGTTACTCACTGAATAAGAAATATACCGAATATGCTGAGCTAAGGTTCATGTTGAAAGATTCAGTTCATTTGCTAAAAATAGAGGTATTTAAACCTAATGATCCCTTAGGAAGATCAGAGTGACAAGCAGCCAGCTTGAAATAGAAATGTTAATGGTTAATTGTGAGGTCAATATATTAATCTTTAGAAACTTGCCTGAATGGTCATTTATAGGTTTACTATTTCAAATCATCTATATGTCTGTTTTCTAGGATAAAGGGCTTGCTCCTTCTTTCAAAAGTAGGACTTATGTTCTTTTCAGCTGCTGGGAAACATTTAAGAATCTATGCTACATTGTTTGAGACATTCACTTTCATTCATGTTACAGTAATTTAAACTGAATTTAGCAACAATAAAGCAATCTGAGAACATGATCACATAGAACAAATTTTAACTTTTTCTTAGTGAAAGGCAATGTTGGCTAAGTTGTCTAGCCTTAGTTCAGACCTAGTATCATCTTTCACATGTCAAGTTTAATATCCAAGAAGGAACTAAATAAATCACACCTATCTTTCATCTTGCTTTTGTAAATTAATACAAATTTGCAGTTCCAAAAAACAAGACTACAGAAGAAAATATTTCTTCATTTGAGGCACACAGCACAGATTGGAAACATGAAACATTATATGATGCAGTAGTCAGAAATCAGAGTGATAGACTGTTCACTACTTCAGAAGCATGTGATTAGCAGCATAATGTAATTATACACATTGCCATCTGGTCTTTAATTGGTTGCAGGGTTAGGCACAGTACCATGTATATATTCAAGCACAGTTCATTGTTTGAGAGAAATTAACTGAAGAAATATTCCCAACTGGCTTAGCCAAGTGGCAGAGGAAAAAACACTGAAAAAGCAATGTGTCTTTTAGGGAGTGGTACAAAGCTACATCATTGAAGAATAAGTTAAATTTAAGTATTGAAAATTAGGTATTTGATTATTCTCTACCACTTATGATAGCCTAAAAATTGAATATAAGGTCACGTAAATATATTATGAAGAATGAGATATCAGACCTTTCACAATAATTTAAATTACAGATAATTCTTTTTTTTTAAAAGAACATAATTCCTTTCCAGGTAAGTCTTCACGTACTTTGAGTTCATTTTTTTTGCATAAGAAGTTTTAAATTGCTTACTTAAGCACATGAAGCCTATATATCCCAGAAGTGAGGAAATGCCCAGAATTTTTTAATGCCATCAGGAGGAAGGAGCCAACACATTCAGAAGGTAAAGAATCTAGGCAACTGCCCAGCCTGAGTGCCCTACATTGTGCTAGCCAAATAATGCTGGTGACTCCTGAGCTAAGCAAGGAGTACGCTGTCTCAGGCCTAAGTAGAGATAGACGTCAAAAAAGTCATCAAACATTTAAGGAAAACAAACACAAAACCCTGAGGTAACCTCTAAAAGAAATAGAACTTACAAGATAAGAGAAAAGAGTTCAAAATAAATTTAATTAATATTCTCAGCAAGATTTGAGATGCTATTGCATCCATTAAATTTTGCCTTCTCCTGACCCTCCAGGGGCTATACAATTGTCCTTGGAAATAAAAAAAATCTGATCATCAAAATAATGATTTAATAAATGGAATAAATACAAATGTATAGACTAGAAAATCAAGTTAGTGATGTAGAAGTTCAAGCAAAGGGACTCTCCCAAAATATTACCAAAGAACAAAAATAAGAGAAAATATTAAGAGACATGGATTCACAGGACTAAGTATAAAACGAAACTCTTAAAAACTTTTAGAATGTAGGAAGGGAAATAATAAGCTTCTTTTAGAGGAATGAGAATAACATTAACATCAGATATTTTGCCTTCAACTCTCGATGCTTGGAGACAAATGATTAGTATCTTAATTTAAAAAGTTAACTGGAAGAATAGAAGTCATTTTTATATCTTCCAAACCACTGATTAATAAAAAATAAATAAACTTGGTCAATCTAAGAAAAGGAAAGAAAAAATTAAATGAAAGCATTGTATGCAAGCCAGCAAACAAACAAATAATAAAACAAAATAAAATATTATAATAAGCCCAAGCATATCAGTAGTCATAATAAATTTAAATGGGCTTATCCTTTTATTAAAAGAAAAGGCTCAGTTCAAGGCAATGTTTCTATATTTCATTTTATTGTGAACTCATCAAATCTTAACTCAAATACAACTCTTTAATTTGTTCACACTGAATTAGAATATTAAGAATAAAAAAAGTGAGATTCTATGTGATTCTGGTGAATCAATTCTCTCAAAATATAAAAGATACTTTTATTTTTCAGCTTGGAAGAATCATTCCTGAATTGGTATACAAACCTGAATGTTAGGAAATAAATGTCAAAATTCAGTGGTGAATTGGAATATTTACTATTTTCTTTTCTATGTAAATGAAGGAGCTGCTCCCATAATCTGATATTAGGGGATAGATATGGATGTCAGCTTTTGTTGAAAGAAAATTCATAGGAAAGAATTGTGATTAATATCTCAAGAGTCAAATAGATGTCTTCAATTTGCTATCAGGTGACTGGTCATTACCCAATCTGAATCTAGTTCCTTATTTAAATAAATGAGGATAATATCTTTCAACTATTAGTGAATACTCATTCTCAGTTATATTCTCTCTCCCTCTCTCTCTCTCAGTTGGATCTTCCTAATTGATTTTAAACACACTACATCTTTCTTTTCTACTATAAATTTTCTCTGGTTTCCTGGATTAATATACCTCTCTGTGGGCTTGATATTTAGCTGACACATAATGATACAGTTATATCACTTATCTATTGGCCTTTTCCACCCCCAATAACTACTTTGTTCTCTTCAAGTGTTTTCTACATAAATCATAAACCTAGGATAAACACATCCTTGACATTCCCTCTTCTCTCACTTCTCGTATTTAAACTATCACCAAATCCAACTACTTGTACCCCTTTTATAGCTCTTGAATCCATCATCTCTCCATTTCTACAGCTACCATCTTTGTTGATGATCATATTAGCTCTAACATGAATTCTCAGTAGTTTCCTATTGCATCCAATCTGACCTCCCTGAACTCCATTTTTCAAGTGAGCCAAAAATATGTTTTTTAATTAAACATATTTTTAAGATAATTGTAGATTCACATGCAGTTGCAAGAAATAGTACAGATGCCATGTACACTTTACCCAGTTTCTCAACATGGTACTATCTCACACAATTATAGTATAGTATCAAAATTAGAATATTGATATCAATACTGTCAAAATACAGACCACATCTGTCACCACAAGGATCTGTCTTGTTTTATTTATAGCGATAAACACTTCCCTGCTCCTGCCTTCTCTTCTCTCTACCACTGTCTAATCTTTTCTCCATTTCTATAACTTTGTCTGCTCAAAAATATTGTATACTTGGAATGACACATTTTGTAAACTTTTGAGATTGACTTCTTTCATTTAGCATAAATCTCTAGATACTCATTCAAGTTGTTGTGTGTAACAAGAGTTTCTTTTTATTGCTGAATAGTAATCTATAGTAATGATGTATCACTTTTTGTTAAACCATGCATCCATGGAAGGAGGTCTGGGTTGTTTCCAGGGTTTGGATACCATGAATAAAACTTCTATGAACATTTGTGTACAGATTTTTGTGTGAATCTGTGTTTTAGTTTTTTTTTTTTGGTGGGGAGGAGGTTCAAGAGTGTAATTTTGGGTCACATGGTAGTTGAATGTTTAGTATTAAAGAGACTGCTAAACTAGTTTCCAGAAAGGCTGTACCATTTTAAATTGCCATCAACAATGTATTATGAGTGGTCCAGTTTATCTGCATCCTTGCTAACATTTGGTGTCATCACTATTTTTTGTCTCAGTCATTAATGATAAGAGTGTAGTGATATTTCATTGTGGTTTTCATTATTTCCTTGATGAATACTGATCTTTTCATGTGCTCATTTTCCATATGTATATCTTCTTTGACAAAATGTTTATTTCTGTCTTTTGGTCATTTTCTAATTGGACAATTCAGGGTTATTTTTCCTGTTTATTTTAAAATTTTATATTATTTTACTGTGGTAAAGAATGTAAAACAGGATTTATCCCCCTAACAAATTTTCTGGTTAGTCTTGAGGATTCTTTATATGTTATGTCCTCACCTTTTGTCATATATGTGGTTTGCAAATATTTCTCCCAGACTGTGGCCTGAATTCTCGTCTTCTTTCCAGGCTGTCTTACAGAACAAAAGTTTTTAGTGTTAACATATACAATTTCTCAAATATTCTTTTTACAGATCGTGCTGTTGATGTTAAGTTTAAGAACTCTTTTCACGGCCTAAGAACCCAGTAATTTTTCTCTTTTTTAAGTTGTAATTTTCTATTTTCCATTTATGTCCATGACTCATTTTGTTTTTTGTTTGTTTGTTTCTTTAACATTTTTTATTGATTTATAATCATTTTACAATGTTGTGTCAAATTCCAGTGTAGAGCACAACTTTTCAGTTATACATGAACATATATATATTCATTGTCACATTTTTTTCTCTGTGAGCTACCATAAGATCTTGTACATATTTCCCTGTGCTATTCAATGTAATCTTGTTTATCTATTCTACAGTTTTGAAGTCCCAGTCTATCCCTTCCCACCCCCTGCTCCCTTGGCAAGCACAACATTGTATTCTATGTCTATGAGTCTATTTCTGTTTTGTATTTATGCTTTGTTTTTGTTTGTTTATTTGTTTGTTTTTTAGATTCAACATATGAGTGATCTCATACGGTATTTTTTTATCTTCCTTTTTTTTAAACATTTTATATTGATTTATAATCATTTTACAATGTTGTGTCGAATTTCAGTGTAGAACACAATTTTTCAATTATACATGAACATATATATATTCATTGTCACATTTTTTTTCTCTGTGAGCTACCATAAGATCTTGCATATATTTCCCTGTGCTATACAGTATAATCTTGTTTATCTATTGTACATTTTGAAATCCCAGTCTGCCCCTTCCCAGCCCCCGCACCCTTGGCAACCACAAGTTTGTATTCTATGCCATGACTCATTTTGAATTAATTTTTATATAAAAGGTGAGGTTTAAGTCAATGTACATATTTTTTGCTTATAGATGTTCACCTGTTCCAGCACCATTTGTTGGAAGGCTTTATTTCCTCCCTTGAATTGCTTTTGCATCTTTATTGCAAATCAGTTGGGCACATTTGTGTGAATTTATTTCTCAGCTTTTGTTTAATCTCATTGATCTCTGTGTCTATCCTTCAATGAGTACCACGAAGTTTTGATTGCTATAGTTAAATGATAGCTCTTTATTCTTTTTTCAAAACTGTTTTAGTTATTCTAGTTCCTCTGCATTTCCATATAAATTATTTTATAATCTTGTCTATATCTACAAAAATCCTTGCTGGTATTTTAATAAGTATTCAATTCAACTTATATATCTATTGGGGAGAATTTACATCATCATATATTGAGGCTTCCAATCCATGAACACAGATATGTCTCTCCACTTATTTATATCTTTGATTTCTTTCATTGGTGTTTTGTAGTTTTCGCCATTCAAGTAGTATGCATGTTATGTTAGAGTTACACCCAGGTATTTCATTTTTTGAGTACTGTAAAAGCTGTCATATTTTAAAATTTTGGTGTCTGTATGCTTATTTTAGTTTAAAAAATGAGCTTTGTAAGTGTATCTTCTTTCCTATGATATTGCTGAAATCATACTAGTTTTAGGTTTTTGTAGATTCATTATCATATTTTATGTATATTAATTATGCCATCTGCAAATATGGACAGTTTTATTTCTTCCTTTCAGATCTATTTTTCTTCCCTTTTCTTGTCTTATTGTGCTGACTAGAAAGTTCAGCGCTATTTTGAATAAGAGTGATGAGAGAGGACATTCTTACTTTATTCCTGATCTTAGTGAGAAAGCATTCAGTTCTTCGTGATTAAGTGTAATGTTTGCTTAGAATTTTTGTATATACTCTTTATATGATTTTATGGTTTTTCTTCTTTAGCTTGCCAATATAATAGATTATTTGATTGATTTTTGAATATTGAATCAGACTTGCATACACGGAATAAACAAATAAACTCCATGTGGTCATGGTGTATAATTTTTCAATGTATCCCTGAATCCTATTAGCTAATATTTTGTCAAAAGTTTTTGTAACTATATTGGCCTGCAATTTTATTTTTTGTGCTTTCCTTGCCTACGTTTGGTATCAGAGTAATACTAGCTTCATAGAATGAATCTAGAAGTGTTCCCTCCTACTTAATTTTCTGGAAGTGATTGTATAGAAACATGGTATTAATTCTTTAAATGTTTGGTAGAGTTTCCCAGTGAAACAATTTGGGACTAAATATTTTGTTGTGTTTTTAAACTAAAAATTAAATTTATTTTAATTGGTATAGGACTATTCAAATTATCTATTTTACTTTTGGTGATCTGTAGTATCTTGTTTTTTAAGGAACTGATTCACTTCATGTAAGATGTCAAATTTATGTGTGTAGTGTTGCCTCTAGATGTTTTTCAATATCTCTGTTGTGCTATGCTACCTCCTATTACAGAATATATGCACATCCTGTTCCTTCTAAATGCTCCATCATACCCACCTATCCAAAATCCAATTTTTACTATAGTTTGTCTCTACTTTTCCTTCACTTTCAAATCTGTTACTTCCTCAAGGATATCATCCCTGACAGCTTCCCAGATCTCATCACCTCTGAGACACACACAAAATTCTAGGTCAGGTTTATTGTTATATGTTTTTATAAAACCAATTAACATTTCTTGACAGTGCTCATCTCAGTTTGTGATGGCACACTTTTATATTTGTAATTAAAAAAATCAATATCTGCTTTATAAATACAATATGCATGCCATGAGACAAGGACTATGTCTGTTCTTCCAAAACTGCATTCCTATTTTAAGCAGAAAATATATCATTAATAGCAAGTAAATTGCAACTCATCACTGGCTAATCATATAAAGGGAACATAATTTGGGTGCAGAGAGTGGGAAGGGTTGTTTCCTAATGCAGAGGCTTAATGTGAGAGACCCCAAATGGAGTGAAGAATAGTTATTTCCTTTGCAACTAGCTTTCATGGTCCACTAATTTTAGTAGTGAAACAGAAAGTGAAGATATGCTTATGGAGTAGGCAGTATCAGTTTATGAATCTAAGTGGTCAAGTTGTCACCTAAGTTGCCTTTGCTTCCTATGTTTACTTTTCACCAGACACACATCCCATTCCTTTCCTCATACACACCACTCTCCTCAAGCCCTCAGACTCTGTGAGAGAAGGTTCAGGTTGATTTGAATTTTGGAAAAAATTTAATTGTTAAATATTAGGTAAATTATTATTTTCACTAGGACAATTAATTGTCCTTCAAAGGAGGAGCCTCTAACTGTGAAATTAATTCTGAGTTTTCACAGTTTAGTGCAATCTGACTTTAACTATATACTTAGTGCCATTCAAAGACTCAAGTTTATGACAGAAGCAAAAAGTATCTATTCTTTAAAAAATTACCAACATTCTTATAGAAAAAAATTTTTGACACTGAGAATATCTTTATTCAATAGCAAAATGAATGTTTTAGGAAAGAAGGAATTGGGTTAGATGTTTCTGAAGGGAGCTTTAAAACTTGTAACTTGTGCTTGTAAAACTCACCTAATCAAATTCCTGCCACCTCTTATCATTAATATTGTTTTTAAATCAGTGAGAACAAGTAATGAGTGGAAATATTTGTTTAGTTCAATGATGTTAAATTAGAAACACTGCCCTGTACAGAGATGTAACCAAAGAAAAGTTATAGTCTTCCAGAGGGAAAAAGAAAACAGAAATTCTCATGAGATGATGATAGGAAGAAGTAAAGTGAAAATGAAGTATTTTTCCCCAAGCTCTGATGAAGGGTAGCATTTCTGAATATTTTGATGATAGAAACTTTCTTTTAATTCTTTCATTTAACAAAAATGTATTGGTTTCTCATTACATGCCAGGCAATTATTCTAGTTTCACATTTTCTTGTTTGAACACACTTGAGTTATTCATGATTTCATGCATGTAAGAAGCATTCCCCATACTCTTCTATGCTAGTATGATGCCAAGAGACAGTTCAGTTAAACAAAGTGAGTCCAGCCATCAATTTTTATCCAGCCATGCTTTGTGAACATAACATTTATTTGGAACATTAATTTCTTTCTTAGAAAAATAAGAGAAAAATATAAGTGATTTATCTCATTATTAGACTTTGTGAAACATTTGCTAAGGTAGGCAACCGAGGTTTCAGCTCACTCAATGTTTTTGTATTTATAGTCTATCTCTGTTTCTTTTATTTTAAATTATAAAAATAACACTGACTCATGATAAAATATTTAAACAAAAATATTCAAATAATATAGAAGTATAAGTTATGCATAGATAATATTTAACTCTCCTATAATATCAATAATTTAGTGTGTATCCTTCCAAACCTTTTTCAATGTAATCACACAATTATATCCTATTATAGTTTTAATATAAACACTATGTAAAAACTGCATAAAGTATGAACCGACATGCAAGGATAACCTAAGTCATAATGAAAGTGAAAAAATGTGACTTGTAGAAAAGTACAGATAATATTTGCATAGATTTTACCGTCACGATTGGGAATCTTCTATTTTGATTTCTATCGGTATCAGACCTAGAAGAAAGATAAAGACAGATTTTTAAATTTAGGAAAAAGTAACCCAGAAATTACTATATCAATAAACTCAAAAAATAATTGGAAATATAAAAGTAAATATTAGCAAGGGTTCAGAGGTGCAAAACCCAACCCTTCATTTCCCATAAAATGACCAGTGATGACAATAGAGAAATTTCTGTCTATGAATTTACAAAAAACAAAACTTAGAATCAAACCTTTCACATGATCAATTTCCAAAACCAAATTAAAAAAGAAAGAGAAAGCCACATGAAAAATAAAGATCTCCCATAAAGGTAAACATATGGACAAATATAAAAAACTAGTATCTTGTAATTTTAGTTTATAACATCATTTTTTATTTTCTACAGAATTTAAAAGAGAAATATCCATAAATAATAATAATAAATCTATGTTGATAGGTATACATCAATAACAAAAAGTAGGGAGTGGAGCTATAAAGAAGTAGAAGTAGAGTTTTTAGCTGCTATTGAAGTTAGTCTAGTCTCAACTTAAAATATGTTGTTATAACTTTGGGATGTTATATGTAATCTCCATGGTAACTACAAAGAAAATATCTATAGAATACATGCAAGAGGAAATGAGAAGGGAAACAAAATGTGTCACTAGAAAAAATAATCAACTAAACACAAGGAAGGCAATAATGGAAGAAATGAAGGACAAAAAAAGCTATAAGATATATGAAAATAAAAACAAAATAGCAAAATAAATTCTATTAGTAATGGCTTTATACATAAATTGACTAAATACCCATTCAAAAGACATACATTG